TCAAATCTACCGTTAGATATCCATTATGTACCACTTCGATTGATTGAGATCTCTCAAGATCAAATCAAACTCCTCCAATGATTTGGAGTGAAACCCATGTTTGATTTATATTGTTATAAAAATATTTTAATCATAACTATAAAAATAATAAAATTATTTTAATAATCTCAAACCCTTCTAATATTATAATTTTCAAGTGACCGTACAGACAGCACTATCCAATACTCCACACTATTAATTGCTCCCATAATATACATTAAGATTAATAATCAATTAAACTTTGTCATTATGTATTTGAAAATAATATATATAATAAGAGTCTGTTAATACTTGACTTCATTAAATATATCAGGAAAATTAAGGTTAAAATGTATTAAATACAAATTTAAAAATTCAAAAACTAATTTATAATAAAAATTTAGATAATTATTTAAAATATGCATAAAATATAATCGAGACCAAAAAGAAAATAATTTCCATTGAATTAAATGAGTAGGAAAACATTTAAACGTTTTACAATATAAAATAACGAATTAAAAAAATAAAAGAAAACTAGACAGTTTAAAATAATAGAAAAAAAAAAAATAAAGTCTCTCTCTTTTTATATTTAAATAAAAATTTATTGTTCGTGGGAATCGCTGCATTTGCTTCTTCTTCTTCATCGTCTTCTTCGTCATTCTCTCTCTCCTTCTTCATCTTCGCTTCTTCTTTCCCTTTCTTAATTTTAATTTCACTGTGTAGAAATTATAAGATTTTTCTATTTTTATTATAATTATTAATTTCTTTTCCTTCTTTTTAATCTGTTCATGGCGGGCTTAGATTTGGGCTCTGCATCTAACTTTGTCCATCAACTTCAGCACCGTTCCGTGGATCTCCACTTGCAGCGGCCGCCGGACGGAGACGACGGTCCAGACCAGTTCCACGGCCTTGATGACGAGCACCAACCGAACTCTGGTGGCGAAATCGTGGCCCGGCGGTCAAGGGGTCGACCGCCTGGGTCTAAAAATAAACCGAAACCACCGGTTATTATTACCAGAGAAAGCGCTAACACCCTTCGTGCTCACATCTTGGAAGTCAACACCGGTTGCGATGTCTTTGACTCGGTGGCTACTTATGCCAGGAAACGCCAACGGGGGATCTGCATCTTGAGCGGCACCGGCGTCGTCACCAACGTTACTTTAAGGCAACCCGCGTCCGGCGGCGCCGTTCTCACGCTTCCCGGAAGGTTCTGATAAAATTACAACCGAATTGAATTATTTTTTTTTTAATTGATTATGATTAGGGTTTTATTTGAAAGTTGGCTATTGGGTTTTTTTTTTTTTTTTTTTTTTTTTAAATTTATTTTTAATTTTCAGGTTTGAGATATTGTCTTTGTCGGGATCGTTTTTGCCGCCGCCGGCTCCGCCAGGAGCGACGAGTTTGAGTATCTTCCTTGGCGGTGGACAAGGGCAGATTGTGGGAGGGAATGTTGCTGGCTCCTTGATTGCTTCTGGACCGGTGACTGTTATTGTGTCGTCGTTTACCAATGTTGCGTACGAGAGGCTGCCGTTGGATGAGGAGGAACCGTCCAACGGTGGTGGAGGGAGCCTTAGCAACCCGTTTCCGGACCCGTCGGCGGGGTTGCCGTTCCTTAATCTGCCATTGAACATGCCGGGGAATCAAAATCAGCTGCCGGTGGAGGGATGGAACTCCGGTGGGGGAGCATCTTATTGAGCTTCAAGATTGCCAAAAAAGAGAAAAAAAAAAAAAGGTTAGGGGAATTGATAATAATTGTTTAGATTAATGCTAATTTTATTGTCTAGAAACTTTGGTACAAAAAACCCAACTTTTTTTTTTTTTTTTTTTTTTTTTTTTTTTTTTTTTTTTTTTTTTTTTTTTTTTTTTTTTTTNTTTTTTTTTTTTTTTTTTTTTTTTTTTTTTTTTTTTTTTTTTTTTTTTTTTTTTTTTTTTTTGTAACTTTCGTTAATTTTCTGATTCCTAAGAGTGTGTTTGATTCGATCTAGCTATAATTTTGACCAATAATCACTTTAATTATTATTATTATTATTATTTCAATATAGTTCAAATCCAATTGGTTTTGAAAATAAAAGCTTTTTTTTGAATTTTTAAAATTTAATAAAAAAATGAATTTCAATTCTTTTTATTAGAATTTGATTAGAATTTTCAATATTCAATTATTTTATTTTATTTTTTAAATTTAATTTAACCGGAATGCAAGATCGAATGATCAACATTTATAATGATAATTTATGTATTATAAAAGATGCTTGAATTAGCAACGATGCGATTAGATAATGTTATTAAATAACATAACTTTCTATATATTTAGAATATAATTTCTAATTTTATGAAAAAAATCGAATAGTTACATTACTTGACATGCATTTGGATTTTCGTCGCTAAACAATTGAGGAGCGTAAACGTAGTGAACGAAATAAGGAACGTTATTTTTATTATTTTCGTTATCTTTGGTTTGAATCTCTGCAACTATCTTGGTCGTTGTCGTTGTCGTCGTCGTCGTCTCCGATGAAGATTTTTCTTTAGGCTTTTCTTTTTGCTCACTACTTTCTTTCTTCTTCTCCGGTGGCTTCGATGAATCCGCCGCCGTAGTAATGTCGGCGTGTTTCTGCAGCTTCTTCTTCAGATAAGACTTGAACTTCTCTGGTTCTATGGTTCCTTCAATTGTTAGGGTTTGAGCTTTCATGTCTGTTTTCACACTGTATATTCCTGCAAATATTCAAATTATTTGTCCTTCAAATGGGCAAGTTTTTGTGTTTTTCATAACTTTTTGGGCAGTTTTTATAATTTTAAAAAATAGTATTTTTGTTTGTTAAAATATCATCATGGTCCTCGTATTTTAAATTTATCATATTTTAGTCTATATAGTTTGAGAAATTCAATTTTAGTCCTGACTCTTTCATGAATCTCAAAATTAGTCTACTAATAATTTTTAATAATAATATTTTATATTATTAAATTTATTAAATTAGGTTTAAATTAGAAAAAAAAAATGACATTTAAAAATAGTTTAAAATAATTATTAAAATTTGTTGAAAATTATAGTAGGAATAAATTTTAATGAGATCCTTAACTTTACGAAATTTTATTTTAGCCGTTGAACTTTTAAATTATTTTAAAAATTATTATAAAAAATTATAAAATTGAGTAGAATTTATTTTCTAATTTTATAAACGGATCAAAAGACGAAATTTGAGGACTAAATCACAATATTTAAAAGTTTAGGGTTCAAATTAAAATAGAGATTTTTTTTTTTTGAATTTTCTAGCTTAAAAATGGTTTTAATAAAATATAGAGATGAAAAATAAAATAAATAACCTTTATGCTTTAGCAAATTGTTCTTGAGGTCTTTCTCGCATTTGGCGCAGTGCAAGTGAACCTTAGCTGTTATCGTGCGATGGATCTGCCAAGTGGAAAATAATATATTTAATTTAATTTAACATATATATCTTTATTAGTATTTACTAAATATATTTATGATGTATTAAATATGTAAATAAATATTTAATTAATTATAAAAAAAAGTATAAATAATTGAAATTATACTCACGAGGCTTGGCTTGGGTTTGTTGTCAGTGGGTTTAGGAGTTTCTTTCTCCTTGGGCTTGACTTTGGGAGAAATTAAGTCAACCCTTTTCTTGCTCAACTTCTCTATTTGTTTGTGAATTTTGAGCACATCCAAATTGGAACCTTTCACCCTAATTTCATTTTTCTCCATATCAACTTCAACATTATGAACCCCTAATATGAAAATGAAATTAAAAAAAAATGTTAATAATTAAATTACAATCGGGGTTTTTTTTTTTGTCTTCAATTTTGTGTGTTTGATCTATCCCATATATTTTAAAAAAATTGATATTTTAAAGATTATATATTTTTAAAGTTTAGAGACTTATAAGACATGTTCATAAGCCTTTATAAGACATGTTCATATAATTTGATTATAGATCCATGATCCTTCTCTAAATTAGCTGAAAGTGAATTATGTTTGGTTCGCGGAAGGAAGGAAAGACCGAAAGAAAATTGAAACCCATGAAAATAGTGAACTTTACCTTGTGTTCTAACAAGAGGCCTTTTGATCTCTCTCCAACATTGTTGGCAATGAAGGTTTACTTTGTAAATGGCAGTAATGGCTTCAGCTTTCTCTCCCATTTTTGTACAACAAGCTTATGAACAACAAGGATTTATAACGGATGAATTAAGTTTGAATCCTTCTGGTTTTTCTTTCCCACACGACATCGTTTTGGTGAGATTTGCTGATGGTTGGTCATCTGCTTGCTTGAAATCTCTTTCATTTTCATCCTAAATTAGTCTTTGTTGTGCCAAATTGGATCAAACTCTTTTTCATTCTTGTAGAAAATTGGAGCACACCTATATATATATATATATTTTTTTTGTGTTAAAGAGTCGGGGTCTCCGAGATCCCACATTGGTTTGGAGAGGGAAACAAAATATTTCTTTTAAGGGTGTGGAAACCTTCTTCTTAAAAGGTGCGTTTGAAAATCGTGAGGCTGACAGTATATAACGGGCCAAAGCATACAATATTTGCTAGCAGTGGGTTTGAGGAGTTACAAATGATGTTAGAGCCAAATACCGGCTGTGTGCGTTTTAAAATCGTGAGGCTGACGGCAATATGTAACGGGGTGGGTTTGAGCAGTTACAAATGGTGTCACAGCCAAGCATCAGGATGCTAGCCCTTGAGGGGGGTGGGTTGTGAGATCCCACATTGATTGGAGAGGAGAACGAAACATTTCATAGGGGAGATTCTCCATAACATATGTAACGGGCTAAATCGAACCATATTTATTAAGAATGGGCTTGAACTCTTACAAAGGAAACAATTGAGTTCAATTACATATTCTAGATTCATACAAAAGTCCTCATATCAATGAAAATATTGTCTCGTGCTTTTATACCAACGATCTTTATTTTATCTAGTTAATGTGGGATTTTAGCCAATCACTCTCAGAAGGACGGACTAATATCTTTAAATACTTTCGATTTCTTGTTATGAACGGTCTCGGGAGGAAGCTCCCGAATACAATGTTACATCTTTTGTATATATACTACACAACATCTAAAGATGTGGTAGAACTTGTAGAAAAACAAATCAAACACAAAGGTAATTACTTGCAAATGAAAGATGACAAGCTTTTTGATGGCGTTACCAGAGTTACAGTGTCTTCTTATGAACGGTATGAGGTCCAACCATGTCGACGGTGCCAGGGGCTCCGACCATAGTCACGCCTGGAGCGGTGGCCACGTTGGTGGTGGTGCCGTCGCCAGGAGCCACAAAGATATTGGTGTGAGCATTGGCATGCTTAGCCATTTCTTTCTCAGCCCTCTTTCCAGCTTTGGCAACATGAAGACTCATTGCAGCTTCAGCCTCTCTTGCCAATCTTACCTCATGAGCCACCTCCACTCTTGCCTTTGCTAGCTCCTTCTCTGCCTGCCAATAGAATGTAACATTGTATTCGGTCGAGACCAACACATGTCTTAATCAATCGAGACTGACAGATACCTTAACTACACGGTCTCTCAATCGAGACTGAGAGATACCTTAACCAGCTGACATTGACATTCAGATTGAAAATATTCTCTATAATACAACCAAACTCGACATTATTGAGATTAGTGCATGTGTGTGTGTTTTCTTGAGAGCTCACCTTCTCTTCGGCCTTCGCCTCGGACTTGGCCTTCCGCATGGCGGTGATGTCGTGTAGCTTGTCCCTTACTGCTTGCATCTTCTTGTCTTCGGACTGGTAAAATGGTTTAAAAGCCTTCAAAAAGCTCAGAGAGAATGCGAATGATTAAACCCAAGTTCATTGCCATATTTATAGTTCATTTGCATTCGCTCCCTTGGCTGTTACATTGACAATTGTAGAATGAGCATTAATTCTAGGAAAGATTTGTAGTTCAATTCAAGCCCATTTCCTCCGGCTTAAGTGAAAAGTGTTTATATTAGGATCAATTTTTTAACCAATAAAAAGATGGAAGGGAAAATAATTGGCTTTTTATTTCATAATTATCAAGATCCAATAACCAACATTTTCCCCCTAATGTTTAGGAAACGGTAACTGAATCAGAATCCTGAATCAGTTTGGAAGAGTAAGGGAGAAAACTAATGTCCGTTCAATTGAATATGAGGTTACCTTTGGAGGATAGCTCTGTAACAACCCCAATCCAATGCTAACGGATATTGTTCTCTTTGTATTTTTACTTCTGGACTTTCCCTCAAGGCTTTTAAAACGTGCATGCAAGAAGTTTCCACACCTTATAAGGATTTCCCTCAAGGCTTTAAAACGTGCATGCGGGTTTGCATTTTCGTTCTTCTCTCCAACCAATGTGAGATCTCACCATCCACCCTTTGGGGGCAATCCTTATGGGAACACCACCTAGAATGATACCATTTGTAACAGCTTAAGCCTATCGCTAGCAGATATTGTTCTCTTTGGACCTTCCTTCTCGGACTGCCCATCCTTATTGGCACACCACCCAAAATGATACCATTTGTAACAGCTCAAACCCACCGCTAGCAGATATTGTTCTCTTTGGACCTTCCTTCTCGGACTGCCCATCCTTATTGGCACACCACCCAGAATGATACCATTTGTAACAGCTCAAGTCTACGGCTAGCCGATATTGTTCTCTTTAGACCTTCCTTTTCGGACTTCCCCTCAAGGTCTTCAAACACGTATGCACGTATGTTAGGGAGAGGTTTCCACACTCTGATAAGAAATGCTTTGTTCCTCACTCCAACCAATGTGGGATCTCACAAGCTCTCTCTGGTTGAAGAGGTATTTTGTTTGGTCGAGAAAAGCTTTGCAAGATGCAGTTCCGTTATTTTCATTTGCTCCTGAGCAGCAATCTCAAACTCGACTATGGGTCTATTTGAATATCGTTTCTGCAGCAGACACAATTGTTCTTACTTCAGATAGGGAAAACATTTTGGACAGAATGAAGAAGGATCATTTAGAGTTTTAGACAAATGGAACAAAGCCTTCCAACTAATCAACCAAACTGCTCAGTTCATTTCTAAATGATGGCTGACAAGCATATCTTAAGAATTGCATCTCTGGCCTAAGAAGATGGCAATGGCTTCTCATCATTGAGCTAGGTTTCTGAAAAATAGAAGGTTTTTAGGAGGAAAGAATTGAAAATCACTACTTATACCAACATGGTACACCTTTCTTTTCGGCGGCTCAATCATAGGAACTCCTAGGTTAAGCGTTCTTTGCTTGGAACAATTCTATATTGGGTGTATGTGAGTAAGGACAATGTATGCCGGAAGAACTCGTGTTGGTCTATGGGGATAGTCTTTCTTAAGGATATTTCGCATTCGATTGCAGTTATTTGAGGACCATAAATAGAGAATTTTATCGGTTATAGCAAATATTCTCATGAGTAACGTGAATATGCTGCAAGGGAGGCATGAATTGTTGTTATAGGTCAACTAGATGATATTAAAACAGACTACAAATACTTGCAAAATTTATGAGCAAGAGCACTGCATGATCTGACCTGAAATCTAAAGCCAGTCACGGTTGCCAGTGCAGTTGACTGTTCCTCCTTACTCAACCTGAGGTCAAGCTCTACGTTCCAGTATTCAATCGCATCATAGAAGAATACTATCTATTCTTAATTCCGTTCAAAAAACTGTAAGCAACCAGCACTAAAAGATAAATATCAGCCTCGATTGATCACCGACAATGGTACAGAGAGATTAAAGAAGGTGAAAGAAAAAAAATGGAGACCTGATTGAACCTGCAGCTTGTTCCGAGGAGGAATAAGGGGAAGCGAAAACCATTTCTCCGGCGAATTTGGAGCTTCCACAGCACGCCCGAAACTCTTCCTCTCCAAAATCGCACTCCGACGCCGTCGTTATTGCTGCCGATCACTAGCTCTTCTCTACAGTCGGTGTATCTACGCCTCACTCAACAGCCGAATCAAGTTTATGTTGAAAATTATTCCAAACATTTTATTTAGTGTTAAATGGGTATATAATTTTTTTTTAAAAAGAAAATGTCCATAAATCAATTATTTATTATACACAAAATTAAAATTTCAGAAATTAATAATAAAATTGATAATTTTAAGTATATTTTTTAAATTCAAATACGAAAATTTAGAGCTAAAGAAGTTTTGCATCCGAAAAAAAAATGTTTATAAAAACTATTTTGTTTTAAAAATATTAAATTTTTAATATTTTCTTTATTTTTAGAATTGGGCTAATAATTAAATATTTATTTTAAGCATATTTTTTTTTAAAACATCAAATATTTATTAGCTCTCGGTTTTGAATTGGATTTTATTATTATTATTTTTTGATAATTATGGTTCAGATTTTTGTTTTTTTAACACCGCTAGGAGTTGAATTGTTCAACACAATTAAACGACGCCGTTTTGGTGGCGATGGCAGCCTCCGACTCAACTTTATCCGGATTCCCGACTTCGTGTCGTGTACGTTTAAAATATCAAAACTATATGTCGTTTCAGTACATAATAGAACGACATGTAGTTTCAATGTCAGCTCTCTTCCACAATACCCACGTTTGGAAGAACAGAGACTAAACACAAAGCATTGAAGCCTGCTAGCTGAATCGTAAAGCTATTTGGCTTCCACATTCTAATCTCTTTTCGATTTCATTTCGTTGAAGAGAAAATTTCCGAGCCATGGCGTCCTTCAATTCTACCGGAGTTGATGAAGATCAGGTTCTTAATTTCTCTCTTTTTTATCGTGCTTGTACACATTAAACCATCGCCATTTTTCTGAAGCTTGCAAGATCCTTATCGAAATTTTATAGGATTATCATTTCATTAGCTTTTAAGTGATGAGAGATTTCTTATGGATTAGGCGATTATTCATGAGCAAATAGCCATTTATCACGATGAAGTTCTTTTCACTTCGGTTGTTTATCTTTGCTCGTTAGCTATAAATGTAAGCAAGAAGGTTATAGATACTGAAATTTTCTTTTCTAAGAATTTAGAAAAATCGCGGCAAAAAATATGGTGCTAGCTTAGATTTTCTTTCTGTAAACGTACGGTTTATATTGAGATGTTGCTGATAATTTTCTATGCAACAGGTTTTAGTGGAAGAGAAGCGGTCCGTGAGATTATTGACTTTAAACCGAACTAAGCAGTTGAATGCTCTTTCATTCCAAATGGTGAGGCCTGCGATTGTGATTTTCTGTTCTACTTGCAGCTTTTTCTGTTGTGTTTCCATTTAGTAATATATATATTGATGATGCTGCGTAATTGAACTATCCAATGTGTAGCGAACTCTTGCGTGGTTTATATGTTTAAGACAGGCAGAATAATGTTATTTCAAGTAATGGCGTGCATTTTGTTCAAGTTTGAGAACATGGTGTTCTATTTGTGATTCCCGCCATGGATTAGCGATAACTGGACTATCTGATCCTTGCTGTAATTAGGTTAACAATCAATATTCAATAAGCACCGAACTCTTGTGCTCACGAACTCTTCATCTTATTATTTACAAGCATTATGTTTCACACATTATGTGTCACGGTGTTAATCTTGACCGGCCTGATGCTTATTGTGGTTCAAGATTTTCAAGATTTTGGTAGCATTTACAGTGCAATGAAGTTTTCTTGTGAGACCCCACATCGGTTGGAGAGGAAAATGAAACATTCCTTATAAGAGTGTGAAAACCTCTCCCTAGAAGACGCGTTTTAAAACCGTGAGACCGAGTGTTAAAGTGGACAATATCTGCTAGCTGTAGACTTGGATTGTTACAAATGGTATCAGAGCCTATCACCAAGTGGTGTGCCAGCGAGGACGCTGGACCCCAAGGGAGTGGATTGTAAAATCCCACATTGGGTGGAGAGGGGAATGAAACATTCCTTATAAGGGTGTGAAAACCTCTCCCTAGAAGACGCGTTTTAAAACCGTGAGACCGAGTGTTAAAGTGGACAATATCTGCTAGCTGTGGATTTGGATTGTTACAAATGGTATAAGAGCCTGTCACCAAGTGGTGTGCCAGCGAGGACGCTGGGCCCCAAGGGAATGGATTGTAAAATCTCACATTGGTTGGTGTGGAAACCTCTCCCTAGAAGACACGTTTTAAAACCGTGAGACCAAGGGTCAAAGGGGACAATATCTGCTAACTGTGGACTTGGGCTATTACATTTCTTAACTGAGAAACTAGATAAATGCTCTAATTAGTGTTTTTCTTGATCTTTCTATCCAGGTTTCTCGGCTATTGGAACTCTTTGTTTCCTATGATACAGATCCCAGTGTGAAGCTCGTGGTTGTCAAGGTACTTCACTTCTCCGTCAAGAATTGCTATATATATATATATATATATATAGCATTGAAATAAATAATTTTTTAATTAGTTGAGTATCGTCTGTGTACCTAGGGGAAAGGAAGGGCATTTTGTGCTGGGGGTGATGTGTCAGCTGTGGTTCATGACCTTAAACGGGGTAAGTTTCTTTAATTGCACAACTCAATGTCAACTAATAACGAGCATCTAATTGACGCTCGAGATAAAAAAAAAATCATCTTTTTACCTGCTCATTGTTTATGGTGTTCACAGTTAGCCTGTCATCTAATCTAGGAGAGGTGTGCAAAAGTTAACTTGATAATATGAAAAAGCATTTATATTTAGGTAATCATAATCCTGGTTTATGTGAGTTAGGTGATTGGAGGAAAGGTGCTTATTTCTTCCAGAAAGAGTTCATCTTAAATTATTTGATGGCAACTTTCAGCAAGCCACAGGTAATTTTGGTTGCTCTAAGTTCAGCTCATTTTAGTCTATGATGACTTTTACTTTGTTAAATTTAACTTTCAGTGATTGCTTGAATATTCCTAAGGTTTCTCTCCTGAATGGTATCGTCATGGGAGGAGGGGCCGGTGTTTCAATGCATGGTAGATTCCGTGTTGCAACGGAGAAATCGGTATACCGAACTCAAGCTCTGAACTTTTTGTCCTTGAATTATTGATCCAATGCCCATGTTTTAGAGTTCATTGAAGATGTGTAGAATGCTTGGAAGATATGCTTTACTGTTTTCATTATGTCGGATTGGGAATTTAAGGATGTTGAATTATCTTTCTATTCTTGTACTTGTGTACCATTGTTTTAATCATTAGGGAAAGGGAATATATTAATATGACAATTTACTTTTTTCAGGTGTTCGCAATGCCTGAAACTGCTTTAGGACTCTTCCCAGATGTTGGTGCTTCTTATTACTTGTCAAGACTCCCCGGATTTTTTGGTATAACTTATTGTCCTGTATCCCCTTGTGTTCGTATTATGTATTTTTTAGTATTGAGTATTAGTTGACATATACCATGGACAATATTTACTAGCCAAATGTGAGATCCCACATCGGTTGGAGAGAAGAACAAAGCATTTCTTATAAGGACGTGGGAACCTCTCCCTAGCAAACGCGTTTTAGAACCGTAAGACTGACAGCAATATGTAATGGGCTAAAGCGGACAATATCTGCTAGCGGTGGGCTTGGGCTGTTACAGAGCCAGACACCGAACGGTGTGCCAACGAGAATGCTGGACCCCTAAGGGAGGTGGATTGTAAGATCCCACATCGGTTGGAGAGATGAACGAAACATTCTTTATAAGGACGTGGAAACGTGATCAGTTTGTCATCTAATACTTGTGCTTGGAGGTACTCTATGCATTAAGTCATTATTTTGCTAAAACTTTTGCAGGTGAATATGTTGGCCTAACAGGTGCGAGGTTGGATGGTGCTGAAATGCTTGCATGTGGTCTTGCTACTCACTTTGTCGTTTCAGAGGTATCCCATGCTTAGATGAAGAACAGTTTCACATAAGAAATTATTAGTATTGTATAAGTTTTTCGACAACATATTTCATAGGCTAAGTGGTTGTTCCTTTTTGTTACTCCTATCCATTACCAGAAATTGACGGACTTAGAGGAAGCACTTTGCAGAGAAGATACAAGTCCGCCATGCAACATCTCAGAAATTATTGATAAGTTCACCCAAAGACCAATTCTTAAAGAGCAAAGTGCTTATCACCGGTATGACTCTATCTTTGATTTCTTGTCTTTTTTTTTTTTTTTTTTTTTTTTTTTTTTTTTTTTTTTTTTTTTTTTTTT